TGCACTGTTGATATTCTACTTTTGACAAAAATAAAAAAATAAATAATAATAAAAATCACCATAACTTTACTTGTCATGTTTTGTGATAAAGACAAAAAATGACAAGCAACTAGCTCTGATAATCACATACGACCTTTTTGGTGGCACAAATGTTTCAGCACCATGGACAGCAGTATCTCTTAAAGCTACAGCATCTATTGACTCATTTAGCTGGGATGTACACGATTAAATCATTGCAATGATGGCAGCAATGCCGATAACTGACTTCAAAACGTGTTTAAATATTTATAAATACGACCAGAAATAGGTCTGAAAACAGGAATAGCCTTGGAGATATTCATAATGGGACAACGTAGTCTGCAAAAGATATGGCATGCCGAATTTTGTATTTTACCGTTTGTAAATACAAAGTCAAAAGTAAATTTATTTCACATGATGTCATGTGACATGTCTACTTCTCTGACAGTGTTTTTCACCTTGCAACCACAGCCCTTATGGCCATAGCTTTGTCAACAGCTACTCACCTTAGATAAAGTTGTGGCAAGACTGAAAGTACACAATATTTTGCATCCAGGTATAATATTTCTACAACCATGTTCTCTAATGAAACAATGTTAAAATTACACTGCATGGCACACTAGGGTATTAACTAAAGATTTTTGAATTGGCCACTCTACTCTACGTCAACAAGCATTTTCCCCAGCTGACATCTCACCTCTTCTTCGTTGAGTTTGTTTGCTGGCCCAAACTGAGGGCTTTTTCCCAAAGGAAATGTTTTCATCCAAAAAGCGACCAACTTCCAAGAAAACACAGAGGGCAGCATCACTGTGAATAAATACACCAACATTACTCCATGCTAAACATGTTACATTTATTTCAGGCTTTAATAGCAGACACTAAAGTAGTGTAGGTGTAAACGTTTATAACTTATAAAAGTGTTACCTTTAAAGTTCCTGTGAAAAACAAACAACAGCAGAACTAAGTTAGTATTTTTGACAAATAGATACAAAAACCATCTGGAAATTCCTTTTTTATTATTCAAGAACAAAAGTCTCTTGTTTTTCTTTTGTCTTGCTTTATGCGCAGTGCACTCTACTATTATGTACAGATTATGTACATCCCACAGATATCAAACAGACCCCTAGGAGGATATTTAGGAAGTATTTTTTTAACACAAGTTGTAGCATTAAATAACTTGAAAAAAAAAAAAGAACCAGCCTTTCAAACAGTTTACTCTCTAAATCATTTATTGCAGACAACAATATTCTGTGAGATAAGCTAGATTACAAACCATCTAGGAAGAAAGAGGCATTACCATTTAGAAAACACTCAAACTTCAATAGCAATTCAAAGTCAGTTGCTAGGATACGAGGCAAGGGCAATATATTTCTGTAAGCTCGACAAAAGGGAAACTGAACTTTGTATACAAAGAGTTAGAGCTTGAATTTGTGAAAGAAAGGGGTAAAAAAAAATCACCAACTTGTGTTGATAGATTTGTGTGACTCAAAAAGTGAAAAAGTAAAGATGCTGAGAGTAGTACATGCAGCTGAATGTTGACTAGTAATAACCAATGAAAGCAGGGGGCTTACCAGAAAAACTGACTTTCAGTTTTGATGAATGTATTACAAAAAAGTAACTCTTAAATGTTCTGCCAATAAATGAAGTCATCAGTGAAGATGCATATGGACTGAGTGGATGTTAACCGGATCAGTATCATGTATGTCTGTATCTGTACAAAGCTGAGTGTGTTTCCGGGGGTGGATTACACAATCATTTCCAGTTGTCGTGCGTATTCAATGACCTGTTGTGCCAGCTCAGTGGAGGGGATGGTCACCTCCTCTGTCCGCTGCTGCTGGCTCATGAAGGAGTAGTAGCCATCCTGGCTCAAACTCCAGCCCCTCTGAAATAAGGATAAGCTAGATTTTGGGAGATGCTTTCTAAAATTTTAGATTATTATCTTATTTTATATATTATTATATACAGTATTATCCCACAACTAGCAAAGTAAAAAATACAAGCAATTTTCCAGGTTTTCAACCAGTGAATTTGTTTTTTTCCTCTTAATCTAAATAGACATTCAAAACTCTTAACATAAATTAAAGGCATTTTAATACAAACCTTCTTGGCATAATCTGTCATCTTTTTTGGAGAACTGAAGAAGAGCACACGAGTAGCTTCACTGAACTGGATTTGCTCATATGCTTTCTCTATGCATCCAGCAATTTCATCACTGCAAAAAAAAGGCCAGAGGTTAAGACCATTTCCAAGTCATAAATGTTGTCATCATCTGGTGCCTTTCATTTAATTGTTTTAATTGTTTTAATCATAGCAATTATTTTAGGATCACGTTTTGTCAAAGATCACACAAAAACCAAAAAACAGGGTTTTAGAGGCAGTGCATCAAATGTAAAAATTCCTGAATTTATTTGAAATCCTTACCGAATTGTGTCAAGCAGAATATCAATAAAAAATGTGTA